TGTTGACGTTTTTGCAGATTTATTAAAAAAGAAAAACTGAGATATCACATGGTCCTAAGTATTCAGACTCTTTGCTGTGACACTCATATATTTAACTCAGGTGCTGTCTATTTCTTCTGATCATCCTTGAGATGGTTCTACACCTTCATTTGAGTCTAGCTGTGTTTGATTATACTGATTGGACTTGATTTGGAAAGCCACACACCTGTCTATATAAGACCTTACTGCTCACAGTGCATGTCAGAGCAAATGAGAATTATGAGGTCAAAGGAACTGCCTGAAGAGCTCAGAGACAGAATTGTGGCAAGGCACAGATCTGGCCAAGGTTACAAAAAAATTTCTGCTGCACTTAAGGTTCCCAAGAGCACAGTGGCCTCCATTCCTTAAATGGAAGACGTTTGGGACGTTCAGAACCCTTCCTAGAGCTGGCCGTCCGGCCAAACTGAGCTATCGGGGGGGAAGAGCCTTGGTGAGAGAGGTAAAGAAGAACCCAAAGATCACTGTGGCTGAGCTCCAGAGATGCAGTCGGGAGATGGGAGAAAGTTGTAGAAAGTCAACCATCACTGCAGCCCTCCACCAGTCGGGGCTTTATGGCAGAGTGGCCCGACGGAAGCCTCTCCTCAGTGCAAGACACATGAAAGCCTGCATGGAGTTTGCTAAAAAACACCTGAATAAGATTCTCTGGTCTGATGAGACCAAGATATAACTTTTTGGCCTTAATTCTAAGCGGTATGTGTGGAGAAAACCAGGCACTGCTCATCACCTGTCCCAACAGTGAAGCATGGTGGTGGCAGCATCATGCTGTGGGGGTGTTTTTCAGCTGCAGGGACAGGATGACTGGTTGCAATCGAGGGAAAGATGAATGCGGTCAAGTACAGGGATATCCTGGACGAAAACCTTCTCGAGTGCTCAGGACCTCAGACTGGGCTGAAGGTTTACCTTCCAACAAGACAATGACCCTAAGCACACAGCTAAAATAATGAAGGAGTGGCTTCACAACAACTCTGTGACTGTTCTTGAATGGCCCAGCCAGAGCCCTGACTTAAACCCAATTGAGCATCTCTGGAGAGACCTAAAAATGGCTGTCCACCAACGTTTACCATCCAACCTGCCAGAACTGGAGAGGCTCTGCAAGGAGGAATGGCAGAGGATCCTCAAATCCAGGTGTGAAAAACTTGTTGCCTCTTTCCCAAAAAGACTCATGGCTGTATTAGATCAAAAGGGTGCTTCTACTAAATACTGAGCAAAGGGTCTGAATACTTAGGACCATGTGATATTTCAGTTTTTCTTTTTTAATAAATCAGCAAAAATGTCAACAATTCTGTGTTTTTCTGTCAATATGGGGTGCTGTGTGTACATTAATGAGGAAAAAAAAATAACTTAAATGATTTTAGCAAATGGCTGCAATATAACAAAGAGTGAAACATTTAAGGGGGTCTGAATACTTTCCGTACCCACTGTATATATATATATATAAAATATTATTGCAATTTAACAAAAATATGCTGATTTGCTGCTCAAGAAACATTTCTGATTATTATCAATGTTGAAAACAGTTGTGCTGCACAATAATTTTGGGGAAACTGATAGATTTTATTTTTCAGGATTCTTTGATGACTAGAAAGATCAAAAGAACAGCATTTATTTGAAATATAACTATTTTGTAACATTATAAATGTCTTTACTGTCACTGCTGATCAAACTATTAATTATTATTATACATTTATTTTCGCTATTGAAACACATGCATTAAAAGTGACAGTAAAGACGTTATAAAAAACAAAAACAGCTATTTTAAATTGTAATAATATTTCAGAATATTACTGTTTTTACAGTATTTTTGATTAGAATCAGTTGAAGCACAGGGAACAGTTGGAGTCTAGTCGTAGGCAGACTTTCCAGCAGGCCAATGGACAAGTTTAGTCGTAGGCAGACTTTCCAGCAGGCCAATGGACAAGTTTTAAGTGCCTTAGGATTGTGGAGATGTGACTGTGAGTTACAGCAGAGGACGTTTACACTGACCTTATATATAATACGGGATGTTGATCTTACTGTTTCCTTATGGTGTCTGGAATTTGTTTGGATTTCATAAGGCTCAGTATATGGGTCAAAGATGAAAAAGGGTTTAAGCATAAAAACAATACTGCTTTAAAAAAAAAATCCAAAAAATATATCAAATAAAAAAAATAAAAAAGTTTTCTGTTTAATGTAATTGTATATTTGTTTTTGTTTTTCTAAGAAATGTCATTCAGTGTAACAATCTTCTCAGGCATATTTACAACAAAAATCAATTTATGACATATTAAAAAACAAATTACTCTCACCCCAAATAATAATTAGTTGTTATTTTACATTTTTTAAATGTGCCACTATGCTAGGTTTTGCCCATTTGTCAGTAAGAATTTTTTACTAATTTAAAACCCAATAAAATTTAATATGCTCACTTATTCTTTTATATATTTTAATATGTACAGGTCAGAATAAGCATGTTGTTTGAATTTTTACATTACGCCGAATGACAATAGAACAATATTTCAACCAAATTTTGACATTTTATTTATTTATTTTATTTTATTCTTCAAAAACGTATTTGAAACCTTAAATGTCGACACTTTACTTGCATTTAATGTGCTTTCTATGGACATAAAACACTTTTGTAAATTTATTTTGATGCGGACATCTTAACGTCTTTGACCCATATATATATATATATTTTTTTTTTTTTTATATAAATGAACAAAAACAAAAGTGTTACAATTAAACCTGCTCTCCACAGTTTCATGGATGTCATGGACTTGGAGCGAGACACTAAAAGCACATCCTTATCAACTAACCCCCTCATTACATGTTATTTGTCATGGGAGTGAATCCTTGCAGGAAAAACCTCCCTTTTTCTCACAAATGAGATTACGTCGCACTTCGAAGCATCAGGATTTGAAACTCAACACCAAATGTCAAGCGGCTCGGCTCTCCTCCCCCGCCGCGATTAGCTTCTGAGAACACGCGAGGCCGGGAGACCATGGAAAAACACACTCCGTTTGTTAGAGGCTTACAAGAAATAAAATGGCATTTGTTCATTCCAAGGCAATAAAGCGGCTCGAGAAACAAAGGTCGAGAAACGGTAGCCAAGCAGAGCTCTAATTGCAGGAGGTACTGTTAAGTGAGCCTATTATATGCCACTCAACACACTTACAATAAAACAACAATGCAAAATACAAGCCAGACTAATGGAGAGGCTTTCACGCTGTACATCGAAAGAAAAATATATTCAATGGACAATGGAAAACAAGAGATGGAGAGGAGAAATGAACTAAAAAGCTCAAACTACAACTTTCTGAAGACGTATATTAGAAAAGAGACTTCTTTTAAAGATCGGAGGAGTCTTAAATGCTCAATTAACACTGAAAGGTCAAACAGAGGTGGAGGTTTTATTTACCTGATCACCACGTCGTATTTGTTAATGATATCCCCCAGTGAACTGTTTTTTATGGAAAAGCCGTTTCCAATGACTGCACACGTCCTGCAATCTAAACTGCTGACACACAGAGCACTTTCCATGAATACGATACACAATCAAGGCCACAGAAATGTATTTTGAAGTGAAATGAGGTGTTTAGGTTCAGAAATGGTTGCTTGTGAACCTAAACATTATATAAGCAATTTTATTTTCTATGCATTTTCTATTAAATTGGCCATTTTTGCAATGTGTAAATACAATTTAGGGGAATGGTTTACCCAAAGATGGACATTTGCTAAAAATGTGCTCACCCCCAGGCCGTCCAAGATCAGGATGAGTTTGTTTCTTCATCAGATTTGGAGAAATGTAGCATTGCATCAGTGTCTCAGTAAAGGATCCTCTGCAGTGAATGGGTGCCGTCAGAATGAGAGTCCAAACAGCTGATAAAAACATCACAATAATCCACAGCACAATAATCCAGTCCATCAATTAACATCTTTTGAAGACTAAAGAAACAAATCCACCATTAAGACGATTTTAACTTTAAACCATCGCTTCTGGACAAGATATAAGTCCTCTATTGCTTTCTCCACTGGATAACTCACCTCGTCTGAATCAGGAGAGAAATCTGCACAGATCAAGCATCAGTTATGAGCAAAAACAGTCAAAAACGGCTCTAAACAAATACGTGGGTGGATTTTGATATGAGAGACAACAGGAGATGGATTTTGTCACTGAAGGCAGTGTTATTATGGATTATGGGCATTGCATTTTTGCCGGAAGCAACGGTTTGAAGTTTGTCTTAATGATGGATTTATTTCTTACAAACATGCTGCTTTTGTCTTCACAGAGCATTAACTGATGGACTGGAGTGGTGTGGATTACTTGTGGATTATTGTGATGTTTTTATCAGCTGTTTGGACTCTCATTTTGACGGCACCCATTCATTGCAGAGCATCCATTGCTGAGACACTGATGCAATGCTACATTTCTCCAAATCTGATGAAGCAACAAACTCATCTACATCTTGGATGGCCTGAGAGTGAGTGAATGTTTTAAAAAAAAAATAATTGTGGGTGAACTATTCCTTTAAAACTCTCAATGTGATTTTATTTTCTAGCAATTAACATTAGACACATCAAAATTAAAAGACAAAACTGATTAAATGAAAAAGTACAAATTAAACTAACTTGGTAACAGGATTGTGAGTAACACTTATATTTAGTCACACACAGTAACACGTGCATATTGAGCCACTCTCAGCCGTCACTGGGTAGGAGCTGCTAGGTTTTACTTATCCTTTTAAAAGACTGTCATTCTGTCTTTTTAATGGTTATTATATATTAAGCAAGATCATTTTGAACATGAGCAAGAGCATTACTGTAATTAATTTGTAATACATGCTGTAATTTATGCCAGATTGCAACACGTCATAAGCAACCGAAGCAGATGAGAGACTCTGAGGAATGGGTTTTCTGCAAGCTTATGGGTGCTTGAGTTCAGATACTCGTGAAAGCAGCTCGGCCCTACTTCACCTCTCAATGTTTGCTGGCATTGTGTAGCTGGAAGTCACTGCCAAGACCTTCAGAAGCAGGAGCTCTGCAGAGAGAAAGAAGAAAGAATTTGAACAAAGTGCACCATTATGAATGTATCAACATGAATGGATTGCATGCAGAGTGATGAGCAGCGTACAGTAAAAGCATGCCGAGCACAGAACCAACAAATAAATGTCTTTATATTATGTTGCCTGAAAGGTTTCGAGGGCATGTGAGGTTTCAGCAACAAGATCTGTGTGATCATGTCCTCAAGCCAGATTTAACATAAGCATTAGCTTAATGACTTTGCAGCAGATTTAACCATTGTATTAAAGGAAAGATTATGAGAGAGCGGAGTAACTGTACATACCGCTGCCTTTAATACCATAGGGCAGAGCTTCAGCTGACAGATGTTCCCGCCAGAAGAAATCCTCCAGCTTTAGAAAGAGCTCAGTCTTCCGGCTCATGCTGTGTCGGTGAAACAAAAGACAGACTCAAATACATTTTAGACATTTACTTTTTTATGTATAGATTTAATTACCCCAGATCTTTAATCGTAAAGTTAAATCCATTATAAAAACTGTAAATATTCATTGTGTGAATATTATCACTTTTTGAGTGAAAAAAGCATTATTTGTGGAATATTTTGTCAAAAGCTGAGGTGCATGAGCTCAGATTAATGAAGCCCTATGATCAATCAGTTCCACAAACAAATACAAAACCTGTGCTGTTTGAAATAAACCAAGTTGATAAAAAGATCGAATCCAAAATCTGGTAACAAAATAGCATGGCATGAAATTCATAAGCTGTTTATTTGTAGGCCGCTCATTTTTTGACAAACAAAAAATCTGATCTGTCTTTTGAGCAAGCTGCAGTTTTGGTTTAAACACTGAAACATTAGGAATTCCTAGATCTGACAGCAACGTGAATCAGGGACGATCGTTAAATCATTAAATCTCACTGACATTAACAACGTCCAGCACACTGTTAAAGGTCTCCAGTAGACTACGGCATATGCAGCCGGATCTGATGGTGTTCTAGCAGGAGAATAAATACACAAATACAAGCAAAAGGTGAAACCCCAAATGGAGCATGGTGAGACTGCATGCTCAGATGGGGAGCGAGCGGCCAGCTGTGTACACTAATAACACGGAGAACAATACAA